AGTTTGAAGCCAGCCCAGGAAGGAAAGTTCATGAGACTCAGCTCCAATTAACCACCAGAAAATTAAAAGTAGAGCTGTGGCTCAAAGAGGTAGGGCACTAGCTTTGAGCAAAAGAGCTCAGGCAGCGCCCAGGCCTGGAATTGAAAAAAAATTCCTGGCAGATACGTTCATTTTCATTGATCACATTTAACTTACTTCAGTCTATTAACCATATTAATTAAAAACATGCTCAACATTAGCATAATGAGTTAGAGTAAAGTTAACAACCCAGAGAATTGCTCTTTAAATTTAGCTTGTTGAAACAAATACCAGCCTTCCACTCTTCAAGATTATATTCATTTCCTCTCTTTCTTTCTCTCTGTCTCCCTTCTTCACTCTCTCCTTCCTTTTGAGATAGTGTCTTAATATATAGCCCAGGCTAGCCTGGAACTCACTAAATTCATGTGCCATTTTAGGTACAGCCATGTTAACACCTCTTGATCAGTAACTCTTAAAAGAGATTATGGCTCCCTAGTATAGCACTTGTCTAGCATTCCTGATGCTCTGAGTTTAATTTTTAATACCACACACACATTCAAACATTTAAAAAAAATGGTAGAGCCAGATACTAGTGGTTCATGCTTGTAATCCTAGCTACTTGGAAAACTGAGACTGGGTGGATCTCATGTTGAAGCCAGCTCCACATATGTACAAGACCATTTTTCAGCTAATAGCTGGTGACAGTGGCTCAAGCTTGTCTCTCAGTTTTGTGAGAGATTGGGATTAGGTGGATCATGGCTCCATCCTGTGTAAAAAAGACGGTAAGTATATCTCAATGGAAAGAAGCTAGGTATAGTAGTATACATTTGTCATTCCATATGGTACAGAAAGCCTAAAATAGATGGATTGTGGTCCAAGCCCACATCTAGGCTAGAAGTAAGACCTTACCTCAAAATTAACCGTACAAAGCAAAGAAAGGGGTGACATTGCCCCAAAAGAAATGTATTCATTACTTGACTTAAAATGGTAACTCTTCTGTAGAATAACAATAAAATAACAATAAAAAAGAAATTTAACACCCAAGTCTATGTAAAGTAGACTTCTGGCAGTCTTTACAGTCTTCAAGATGAGCATGAGATGGAGGACACTAAATTCTCTCTTATAGACTCTACAAACTTCACAAGAAAATTCAAAGGGAACCCACACTTTCCTAAAAATAAACAAAACAAAAACAAAAGCAGTGCAGAAAAGGTCAGAGGAGTGGATTAACAGCAGTTGTGTAAATCCTAGTACCATCAAAACAATAATCAATCAATGTTACATAGCTAGCTGGAGGGACCACCCAGGATATCCTGATTTCCAATGCTTTTGTTTGGTGGCATTAGGGAGCACAGGCCTTTGCACACATACTATGTAGGCACAGTATCATCGAGCTGTATCCCCAGCTGCCTACCTTCCAATGTTAACTCATGTTTTGGAAACCTTTCTGCATACATGGCTGAATGTGGAGGTCAGAGCCTTGGGTTCTCCCCAGGGTCTAATGATTAGAAGGATTCACATACCAGTTCAAAGGCGGGGAAGGGTTAAGGGTAGAGGTCATTTTCTCCACTTCCCCCAGAGCTGGTGAGGAGGAAGATATAGTTGTTTTAAATCTGGTCCTTCTCACTGAAATGCTTACTCTGTTACTGAGATTCCTACTCTGTGCTGAGAATTCCAAACCGCCCCCACAAGACAAAAAGCATTAGCATAAATTTTTATTATTTTCCTCATCAACTAGACATAGTTTTATTTTCTCCTACACTAGAAGAGCATTAAGATCCATGCAAAAGAATACAATTCTCAGCCAGGTGCTGGTGGCTCATTCCTGTAATCCTAGCTACTCAGGAGGCTGAGATCTGAAGATCACAGTTCAAAGTCAGCCCAGGCAGGAAAGTCCATGAGCCTCTTATCTCCAATTAACCAACAGAAAACCAGAAGTGGCGCTGTGGCTCAAGTGGTAGAGTGCTTGCCTTGAGCTAAAGAGCTGAGGGAGAGCATCTAGGCCCAGAGTTCAAGCCCCATGACCAACAAAAGAAAAAAAAATAAAAAAGAATTCTCCATGAGATGAAATTCAGTTTTAAGATTAATCATGACTGCTCTTTTTTTTTTTTTGCCAGTCATGGGGCTTGAACTCAGGGCCGGGGCACTGTCCTTGAGCTTCTTCTGCTCAAGGCTAGCACTCTACCACTTGAGCCACAGCAACACTTCAGGCTTATTTCTGTGTATGTGGTACTGAGGAATCAAACCTAGGGCTTCATTCATGATAGGCAAGCACTCTACCACTAAGTCACATTCCCAGCCAATCATAACTACCCTTAGAGGAGAAACACAAAGGTACAATGCCCCTGTGCCTCTGATTATATAAAATATTTATTGAAATGAACTCCAGGAAATGGAAATGAGGATTTTTTTCCCTTTACTTTTTTATCTTGTTTATCTGTCTTTGGGGAAGGGTAAGAAGGGAGACAAAGAAATGGAAGAACGAAGGGTGAACAAGTGCAGCAGTGGTACTCAGTAGAAACTATGCTGAAAATGAACTATACAACTTATGGGTAGGACAAGAGGCCAAAACTTGGGGAGAGGGAAAGAACAGGTGACATAGTCCAAAAAGAAATATACTCATGCTGGGCACCAGTGGGCACACGCCTGTAATCCTAGCTACTCAGGGAGGCTGAGATCTGAGGACTGCAATTTGAAGCCAGCATGGGCAGGAAAGTTTGAGACTCCTATCTTCCATTAACCACCAGAAAATTGGAAGTTTCGCTGTGGTTCAAGTGGTAGAGTTCTAGCCTTGAGGTAAAGAGTTCAGGGACAGTGTCCAGGCCTAGAGTTCAAGCTCCAGGACCGACCAAAAAAAAAAAAAAAAAAAAAAAAAGGAAAAAAATACACTTACTACCTGACCTGTGAAATGGTAATCCCTCTGAATATTACTTTTATAATAATAATAAAAAATAAATCATGACAAGTATTATAATACTTGCTTCAAGTAGAATTTGTCTTCTTGCTGCTTCTTTTCCTCTTCCTTCTCCCCACCCCTCAACCCCTAGCTCAGGAGACTGAGATCTGAGGACCACCGTGTGAGGCCAAGCCCAGGCAGGAAAGTCAATTTCTCATTTGTTTACAAGGGCGATCAATACTTGCAAGGTAGTGTCTGAACAAAACCAGAGGCTGTATATAAGGTTTTGATCTTGGGGGACTTTTCAAGAAGTTGGAGTGTGGAAGTGGCGTTGTAGCTCAAGTGGTAGAGCACTAGCCTTGAGCTGAAGAACTGAGGGACATCAGGCCCAGAGTTCAAGCCCCACGACCGACAAAAAAAAAAAAAAGTTGGAATGTTCAACAATCAATAGACTCTGCTATGAGATGGTCACTGGAGCAAGGCAGCTGAGGATAAGCTTTTAGAAGCCTGGTCCTTGGTGTGAGGCAGTCGCTGATTGGCTAATGGTTAGAAACCTAGAACTGTTAATGATTAGCTGGCTTTCAGAAGCTGTTGGTGACTAATTTTCAGAAGCAATAAACCCCTGAAATGAGATTATCAATGACTGGCATGTGTTATATGATACGTAAATCATGTCTAAATGGTAGTTACTTACTTGTTCACAACTTGTGACTTGAACAATAATAACATCTCCTGTCTTGAATATGAAAAGCAATTGCTTTTATTTCCTCCTACTTTCTTCCTGTCTTCCTTCAGACAAACTTGGCGGAAGACTGTCAGGATTGGAGGTTGTTGGGGCTGGGAAAGTGGCTCAGTGGTAGAGCGCTTGCCTTGCATGCCTGAGGCCCTGGGTTCGATTTCTCAGCACCACATAAGCAAAACAGAAAAAAGCCGGAAGTGGCGCTGTGGCTCAAGTGGTAGAGCGCTAGCCTTGAGCTGAAGAGCTGAAGGACAGTGCCCAGGCCCAGAGTTCAGGCCTCACGACCGGACCCCCCCCCCCAAAAAAAAAGATTGGAGGTTGTCAAGGTCTTTATTTCGAGGATTTTCAGCTAGTATTACCATTTAAGTGATTCAAGCACCAAGTCCTATGTTAGAAAAACAGCTGTAGCTAACTGTTGTAATTCATTGTGAAAAGGTGAATACAAGGCATTGGAGACATCTGGACAAGGTCAATCAATACTTGGTGCAAGATAAAAATCATTAAACAGATCCAGGACGCCTCGGAATCCTTCTCAAGGAATTTTCTCTATTTTATACAGATTATTGACTGAGTTTTATTTTTTTTTTAATTTTTATTTTTTCTGTTCCATGTGTAAACAGCAGGAAACGGGTCGACCTGGGAGTCTCAAGGCCTAAGCCCCGCGCATGGCTGGGCGGCGCATCACTAGCCAGAGGCCCTCTGGGAAGCGGGATGGATGTTGAAAGGGAAGATGTGGACGAGCAGCAAGGGGAGAGATCCTGGGATGAAAGCAGGGCGCCGAGGATGTGGACCAGGGTGGAAAAGGCTCCCACTGGAGGCCAGAGCCCGACAGGCGGAAAGGGGCGGTACCCAGTGGGCGGGGCACGGCGGAAGCAAGCTCCACCCCCTTGGGCGCGTCCGTGTGCGTGGCTGGTGGACGCTGCTCACAGTCCCACTCGACGATGCAGAGCCTGAGAAGAGGACCCAGCAGCTCTCTGGTGTCCATCTTTCTGGGGACCCGTCACCTCAACATCCAGCCCGATCGTCTCACAGCTTAAGGAGGACGCGTCCCTGAGACCGCTCGCCAACATTCTCCCCCCTCCCCCACCACACCACATTCACACAGCAGGTCCAACGCGACACCCCCACCCGCGCTCCGCGCGCGTTCCCGCTCCGCCCCGCCCCCGCCTGACGTGCTCCCTCACGCCGCGCCCCCTCCCACCCGGCACGCCCCTCCGCTGCTCCCGGCCGTCGCGGGCCTGGAGCCGCCCCGCTGGCCTAAGCGACCCTCTTCGCGGAGCAGTCCTCCTCCGCCCGCTGCCCGCCGCCCGCCGCCCGCCGCCCGCCGCCATGGACGTGTACACTTCGCACCGGCTGGGGTCGCCCCGCGCGCGGCTCCCCGGCAGCTCCGGCCGCGGGTCGTCTTTCGTCAGGTACGCGGGGTCGAGGCCCCAGAGGAACGGCTTGACTAGGCGGTGGGGAATGCGGGCTGTCGGGGTCCCGCGGACGCCGCAGGGCGTGGCCCGACATGGCTTCCTGGCGGACGATTCTTTAAACGGCTCCTGGAGGAACGTTTTCCCAGGAACGGCGCCCTCTGAAGAGGCCCTTCCACCGCTCGGGTGTAGACAACCCCACACGGCTCCTTGTGAAGAGCCCTCCCTCCCCCATTGTGACAGTCCTCCCTCCGTGGGACGTTTCCCCCCACCCCGCAGGAGCCCACAGTGGCTTCCCAGAGGATAGCTCACTTGCCTTCGCCTGCTGATAGTCACCCTAAAACAGCTACCTCTGGAGACTGTCCCTTCCCTCACACAATGGGCTTCCCCCTGTGTAGGACCCCAAAGGCGTCTCTCTCAGAAACGACTCACGTAGGAAACCCCATTATTGTAGTTGTCTGGAGTCTTTGCCCTTGATAGAGTCTCCTCTAAAATCCCTCTCGACCCCTACACACAGACACACACACACACACACAGACACACACACATCACATCCCTAATTTCGCTTTTCCCCACCGTCCCCTACCCTAGACTGCATGGCGACGCCCCCCTCCCCTCACTCCACAATGGGGAACTCAGGTTGGGGGAGGTGAAGGTCATTAGGGTCGCAGGAAGGAAAAACTAACTGGAGGATAAAGAAGAGAGGTCCAGAAGCTGTGAAAGAGGCGGATGCAGAAAGAGAGAGCCCTCCTGGGGTGACTTGGCATGGGAGGGTGTCTGGTATTGGGAGAGTATCTGGTATTGGTTTTGGGGAGAGAGTCCCCTCTTCCCTTGTTGAGATGGGAAAATCTGTTTCCGATTTCTGCTCTCTGTCTTTGGAATTGACCTTGCTGGTCTGGGCATTGTTTGTGACTGAGCTGGCATGGGGCAGTTAGGGAAGTGTGGAGGTTGGAATGATGGAAAGGTTGCAGCTGAGACCTTTTAGAGGGAAGAAGAGTGGGCATTGAGCTTTGGTAGTACTGCTAAACTGCTATTAAACCAGAAGAGCACTTTGTTTGCGTGGTTGCTTTTTCTTTATTTTAGCCACTCAGCAAAGCAAGTGTGGTATTGTATTGTTCCCTTGAAAAGAGGCCGTCAATTTATATGCTAGAATGGCTTTCCCATATTCTTATTATGGTACTTAAGGTTTGGTGGGATTTTTTTCCTTTTTGCCCTGCTGGGGATGGACCCCAGGGCCTTGTAAATGCTAGGCAAGCACTCCACCACTTGGCTACATCCACAGCCTTGTGTTTGTGTGTGTTGTTTGTTTTTACTAGATGGAATTTATGCAGAACAAGAACTCATTCTTAGAATTCTGACCCTCTTTTCCTTCCATTCCTTTGCACACACTGAAAACGAATGCATGTTTGTAGAATGAATAAAGAATGGAAGAGCTTAAGAGAATAAAAGATGGTATCAGGACACACCTGTAATTCTGGGACGCTAAGGCAGAAGAGGATTGAGCCAGTCGAGGCCACATTGCAAGACATTCTGTGTCTCAAAGTGGGGGAAAAAAAACAAACAAAATTAAAAACAGCTAAACAAAATCAAGGTGGGAGAATTAGGGCTAGACTCCAATGAAATAATGTATTTTCTGCTAATTTTCTACTAATTTGACACTGTGTGAACTCCTCTGCTTTGTGGCATTCCTTCTGGGCTTTACAGTATCAATTATTTAATTGTTTTTAGTAACCTCCAGTCATCCAATGCTTCTGCCAGATAGTTTCACTGCTTGAAAGTGTTTGTTTCATAGAAATTGTCTAGGGGACTGGATAATTCTGTGTCTCAAGTGGTAGAGCACAAGCAGTGAGGAAGCAAGTTGAGTAAGAGCTTGAGGCCTTGAGTTTAATTAATCCTTGGTGTACACACACACACACACACACAAATTGTACAGGATACTTTAGAACTTGGAGGAGTTGGAGACATGGTTCATGTGGGAGAGCACCAGCCAATGAGCAAAAGTATCCGATACCAAGTTCTAGTCCAATTTCGGACCAAAAAAAAAAAGAACTAGGAGCAGCCATCCATTAAATCTAAGCTCTCTGTAAACTTGGAGTTTAGTTCCAGACAGTCTCCAGCTCAGGAAACGTGTGTGTGCGCGCGCGTGCGTGCGTGTGTGCGTGTGTGCGTGCGTGTGTGTGTGTGTGTGTGTGTGTGTGTGTGTGTGTGTGTGTGTGTGTCCGTCCCTGGAGACCAAATGCAGAACCTTGCCCATAGTAGTCAGGTTCTGTAGTTCTGGGTTGTATCCCAAACCTTAGCTCAGGAATATCATAGTGAGTTTTGTGTGTGTGTGATTTCTAAGGGGGAAAATACAAATATAAAAGTATAAAATCTTATGCTGGGCGCCGGTGGCTCACACCTGTAATCCTAATTACTCAGGAGGCTGAGATCTAAGGTTCACTGTTCAAAGCCAGCCTGGGCAGGAAAGTCTGTGAGACTCTTATCTCCAAACCACTGAAAAACAGGAAATGGTGATGTAGATTGAACGGTAGAGCGCTGGCCTTGAGCTGAAGAATGAGGGACAGTGCCCAGGCCCAGCGTTCAAGCCCCACAACTGACAAAAAAAGTATAAAATCTATAAAACATAAATCTGTCTAGAAAATAACTGCTGGGTTACTTGTTTGTGTTAACAAAGGAATGCTTTTTTTTTTTTTTTAATTGTCCCAATCCTGGGAGCTATCCCTGAGCTTTTTGCTCAAAACTCATGTTCTAGGGCTGGGAAGGTGGCTCAGTGATAGAACTCTTACCTTGCATGCCTGAGGCCCTGGGTTCGATTCCTCAGCACCACATAAGCAAAAAAGAAAAAAGCCAGAAGTGGTGCTGTGGCTCAAGAGGTAGAGCGCTAGCCTTGAGCTGAAGAGCTGAGGGACAGTGCCCAGGCCCAGAATTCAGGCCCCACGACCGGACCCAAAAACAAAACAAAACAAAACTCATATTCTACCACTTGAACCACTTCTGATTTTTTGGAGATGAGTCTCACAGACTTTCTTGCCCAGGCTGTCTTTGAACAGCAATCCTCATGTCTCAGCTTCCTGAGTAGCTACCATTACAAATATGAGCCATCAGTGCCCAGCTGCTTTTTTTTTTTAAAGGCAGTGTTTATATTAAAAGGATGTTATGATGGCTTTTAGTCATACCCAAATTCTGAATTTTCCATCAAATAGTTTAAGTAAAACTTAGGCTTCAGATAAGTATGGTGGGGCTAGGAAGGTGGTTTAGTGTAGAGTGCTTGCCTTGCATGCATGAGGCCCTGGGTTTGATTCCTCAGCATGACATAAGCAGAAAAAGCCAGAAGTGGCACTGTGGCTCAAGTAGTAGAGTGCTAGCCTTGAGCTGAAGAGTTGAGGGACGGTGCCCAGGCCCAGAGTTCAGGCCCCATGACTGGCAAAAAAAACCCCAAGCAAACAGGTAAGTATGGTGAGAGTAACACCAAGACCTAGCTGTTCTTTTCTGTAATTTTTGCCATCCTGGATCTTCAACTCTGGGCCTTGTCTCAGTCCTTGAGCTTCTTTTGCTCAAGGCTAGTACTCTACCACTTGAGCCACAGCACAATTTCTGTTTTTTTTTCTGAGTAGTTCATTGGCGATAAGAATCTCACAGACTTTTCTGCGGGCTGGCTTCAAACTGCAATCCTCAGATCTCGTCTCCTCAGTAGCTAGGATTATAGGTATGAACCATTGGTGCCTGGCTTTTTCTATACCTTTGATAAAGGAAATTCAGTGAAGTTTCCCCCTCCTTTTCTCACCTCTATATAACTGAACATGCAATTTAAGCCTGTCCCTTGCCTTTTTTTCCCCTCCCTAAATACTGGGGCCTCTTTCGTTCATCTTACTTGTTCATGGCAGACACTTCTACTTGAGCTATGCCTCCAGCCCAGCATTTTGCTTTTCACTGGCTTCAAACTGTGATCCTTCAGATTTCAGATTCCTATGTAGTTTAGGATTACAGGCATGAGCCACTGGTACCTAGCCTTTCCCTTACTTTTGACATTGAACATTGCTGATAGGTTTGGGCTAAGCACCTTCCAGTCACCCATATTGGCTTCTCTGCTACTCTAACAACTGAGTGATGAAAGAAGCAGGCTTAACTGGTGAAGTTACATTCCTAAAGACCCATAGTACCTTGCAAGTGCAAGGTTCTTTTCTACAAGGGAGTTCATTTTCACAGATGGGAATGGAGATCAAGAGTTAAAATATTATTGCTCAGAATTGGAGGTGCCTTTTCAAGGGTATGATAGTCATCAGTGCTGTCTATCAGATAATGTTGGTATCTGTCTCTTGAGTACAGAGTAGAATCATAGTTTCTTGCTTTGAAGTTGTCTATGGCTATGCAAGTTGCTTTTGGTCAGTGAAATGTATATAGGAATGTGTAACCCCTTGGTGATAAAAGCTTCAGGTATATAATTTGTCACTCTATTTTCTTCTGTTTTGATGGCTGTTGCTGCTCCAGATGGTGGCTACTCCATCAGTCTGGGGCTCAGAGTAAGAATGAGCCTGAAGTGAAATGCCACTGGGATTTTGGAATTATTACCAAAGTATAACATAGCCTAAATAGACTGGCACTAAGGAATCTGAAAACTTTCCTGCTTTCAAATATTTTTTCTTTTCTTTCTTTTTTTTTTTCCTTTTTGGTGCTGGTCCTCTGGAGCTTGAACTCAGGGCCTGGGTGCTGTCCCTGAGCTTCTTTGGCTCAAGGCTAGCACTCTACCACTTGACCCACAGCAGCACTTCTGGCCTTTTCTGAATAGTTTATTGGAGATAAGAGTCTCATGGACTTTCTTCTGGACTGGCTTCCAACCGTGATCCTCAAATCTCAGTCTCCTGAGTAGCTAGGATTACATGTGTGAGCCACCAGCACCCAGCTCAAATATTTTTTTCTATTGAAGGGTCCATTGCTGCTTGGGATTTGTTTAAGAGTTTAAACTACCTCTTTTCAACAAGCAATTCAATATACACTGTATT